TGACACTGCCCTCTACAGCTAAGATGCTGAACAACAGTCAACCTGAGCTGGGCTGCTGTGAAGCGCTGGCGCCGGCGTAGGCTGCAGCCCCTGTGGCAGTGGGTTGCCATGGGCTACCGTGTGTAGCCAGCAGCCAGTGTGAGCAGCCAGTGTGAGCAGCCAGCAGCCAGCGTGAGCGGCCATCAGAAGCCAGCGACTGATCTGCCTCGCCTGGGAAGAGCACAATGATGGTGCCAACTTGGGCCAGTGAAGCAACATCCTCCACAACTAGACTGAAGAACAAAACAACAGCAACTTGTATGTTCCCCTTCCCCCAATTCCCCAGTACTGTTCCCATCCCCCAATTCCCCAGTAAAAATCTTTAAAAAAATAAATAAAATAAAATTAGTGAATTTTATGACATTTATGCTTCAAAAAAGTTGTTTTTAAAAACATAATACTGGAAAGGAAGAAATTAAACTTTCATTATTTTAGACAACCTGACAATATACATAGTAAATTTTAAAATGTATCCACTATTAGAATTAATAAATGAGTTTAGCAAGGTCACTGGATATCAGGTGAATATTGAAAATAAATTGCATTTTCTATATATTGGCTACAAATACACAATGAAAACAAAACAATACTATTTATGGTAGTATCAAAAAATGTTAAACACCTAGAAATAAATTTCACAAAATGTATGCAAATCCTCCATACTGAAATCTATACAACATAATAAAAAATCATGAAATATTGGGTTGTTGGAAAAGTCATGACGCATTTTTGCAACAAAAACCATAGAAAAAATACGTCATGACTTTTCTTTAACCCAAGATTAAAGAAAACGTAAATAAATGGAGAGTTATACTATATGCATGCATTGGAACATTGGTATTACAAAGCTGTCAGTACTCTCCAACCTGATACACAGTGTGAAAGCACTCCCAGTCACGCCCCAGCAGGTCGTCTTTGTGGAAAATAATAAGCTGATTCTAAAAAGATTATGGAAATGTAAAGGAGCTAGAATACCCAGGGCAATCTTGAAGAACAGCAAACCTGGAGGATTCATACTACCAGGAACCAAGACATTAAAAGTCTAATGTAATGAAAAGAGTGTGATATTGGTGCAAGGATAGACAGTGGACCAGTGGAACGAAAGACAGAATCCAGAAGTTGTATAAAGTTTCATGACATGGCTGTGGGAAAAGGACAGGTCTTTCAAAAAATGGTGCTGGGTCAACCTGATATCCACAGGAAGCGAGTTTTAACTTCTACTCTTAGCAGACTACAACCAAAAATCAGTTTTCAGCTGGATTATATATCGAAATTTAGGAGGTAAAATAATAAAGCTTTTAGAAGAAAACCTAGGAGACTATCTTTACAAGCATAAATCTTAGAATCATAGAAAAGGACCTTAGAAATCTTAATAGGCAATGATTTTTAAATACAACACCAAAAAAAGCAATTATAATGGAAAAACTATGAATTGAACATTAAAATTGGAGCTTCAACAGTGAAAAGAGCTATGGAATGGAAGATAATTCACAACACATATAGCGAACAGAGGAGTTAAATTTAGACTGTGTAAAGACCTCCTACATAAAGAAAAAGTCAAACAAACCCATAGAAAATGGGCAAAAGACTTAACAGGTCCTTCACTAAACAGGACATCCGAAAGTTCAATGAATATATGAAAGGCTCAATCTTATTAGTCATCAGGGAAATTGAAATTAAGACTCCAATGAGATCAGCTGCCCACACACCTGAATGGCTAAACTGAAAAAGACAGGTAATATTTGTCAAAGACGTGGAACAATTGGAATTTGAATACATATGGGTTTATCTGTTTTTGCTCATATTCCAAAGTCGAAAGGAAATATTTGAAGCCATTAATAGTGAGTGGGTTTAAGATTATGGGAGGTCTTATACTTTTAAATATTCCTACTCCTGTTTAATTGTATTTTTCACGTTTTATTACTACAGACCAAAAATTTTACATTTTGAAAAGAACAAACCCCTTTCTCCCACCCCACACACGAACACCAAGACCCAGTGCCTGATGGTGTCTCCTCACCTTCATCTCCTGACGTCTCTGCAGCACTTGACCCCTGACCACTTCTGTCTCAAAGCCATGTCTGTCCTCACCACCTTGGGCTTCTCCTCCCTCTCGTCCCATCAGCTCCTCTAGTGCCTTCAGTCCTAGTCCTGGGCACCCCTCTCCCTCACCCCTCTCCTGTCTCTGGTACAAGTGCACCTAGGGTAACTCTGCTGCAGAACCCCCAGTGTCTCTCTCGTCCCATTTCCATAGGTAGAGTGAGGAGCAGGCCCCTACCCTATTCCCCATCGTAGGGCCTTCACCAGCTGCAGAACAGTGTTGCCCATCTCCCAGTTTGCACATCCCTCTGGCACAGCAGCCCTCCCACCCATCCTGCTACCTCCAGGTTGGCCCTGCTGGCCCGAGCTGTGTGACTGGACACATTGTGTAAGCCCAGTTTCACCTGTAAAGTGGAGGTCATGGGACTTACCTCACAGAACTGTCATAAGGATTCAGTGAGGTGAAAGTCTAGCCCACAGTGACTGCTTAATATATGTCGCCTGTTGCTACTGCTTCTGTTAAGCTTAGTTGGACAGCATTGCACAGGTGACCTCACCTGTCAAAGTACTACCTCTCTGCCTAGTGCCCTTCCTGCTATCCCTCAGCTGCCTTCCCCCCCCCCCCCCCCCATCATTCCAGGTCTAACCCAAGCCCTGGCTGGTGATGCTTTCCCCAGTGACCTCTGCCCTTCATGGTACCCTCCCATCACTCAGGCCTGTGTTCTTCTTGGGGTGGGGGTGAGGGGTCCACAGGATTGTGCAGCAGCTGTCCTGGCCCCTGGCCTCCAATACTCTCCCCAACCTAAAAGGCCCCTCCTTCATGGGCTCCTAAACCAGATGTATCTGTTGAGTAGCCCCCACCCCTATTATAAAGGAGAAACCTGGGGGAAAGAGAAGGGAAGACCTCACCTGAGGCAGAGCGCAGCAGCCAGAGCTGCAGGGCCCAGCCAGGCCGGGACATGGTGGCTCCTCTCGGAAGCCTTAGTTGGGTTACCATCTCCATATCAACCCCAGGACAGAGGGTGCAGCATGTCTCAAACTGAGCCCTCCTTGTGTCCCCAGAACCAGGGTCTTGGTATGTGCTTCCTTCCTAGGTATGGGGGTGGGGAGCCAGCCCCAATATCCGAGTCTCTCAGAAAGCCCCTAATTTGGGCTCTGGAGGAGAGAGGATGGGACATCTTAGTGCTGGGGTGAAGTGCAGAGCATGACTTCATCTGCAAGGAACAGAAACCCAACTGCAATTGATTTAAGCAAAGGAGGTGGTTTATTGGCCCATAAAACAGAAGTCCTGGGGAGGTCCAGCTTCAGGTATGGCTAGATCCTTGGACTTCCAACTATGATGTCAGAAACACATCTCTTTCCTTCTCTCTACTCTGCCTCCCTGTTTCAGTTTGGTTCTCAGGCAGGCTGTCTCCATGTGGTAGAGAGATGTCCACCAGGTACCCAAGACTCGAGTCTGCCAGGTTAGCCACCCCAGGGGAAAAGGAACGTGTCCTTCCTGTTCCCTAGAGCACAGGTCCAAGGCTGATGCTGGTTGACCTAGCCTGGATAATGTGCTTGCCCAAACCAATCACTGTGGGCAGGAGGCTGGCCCGGCCTGGGTCCCTTGTGCCCCTCTAGACGCTAAGAGGCAGGGGTAGAAGAAGGGCAATGTCAGCTCATCTTGGAGGACTTCAAGTTGCAACATAGTGATTTCCAGAGGAAAGGATTCAATTACTAAAGGATGATGGGCAGGCTTCTACCTGTCCAAAGTGACTAATATAGCAAAAGAAGGGGAGACTACCCTGCCAAAGAGGTGATCTGGGCTTCACTGACTCTCCATGTGGCTCCCTAAAGGGAGCCTCTGTTTCCTTGTGGATCCCAAGAAGTGGATAGCAGTTTCTTTTACAGCTCAGGTCGAAAAGCCCTGAGGTCCTGGTCACCAGAGCCCTGAGACTCCCCTCCCAAGGACCAAGACCTCATGGCTCAATGATAACAGTCAAAACAATAATAATAATAAAATAATTGGCCACCTCCTCATCACCCATTCAGGTTGGGTTGTTGGGTGATTCAATGACAGTACTTTAAAGGCAATTAGCACACACAGTGCCTGGCAAATTGGAAACACTTGGTCAATGAGATAGGTTGTATTTTCCAAGATGGCTGCCACAACACATCCCATCCTACATGCCCTTCTTTCTTTTCCACCCTAGTAATTGTATTTTTTCAATTGAAATGCATTTAGTGCACAGTAAACTGCACATACTGAACGGGTACAATTTGATAAATGTTGACATGTCTACACCTGTGAAACCATCACCACTCTCAAGAGATTGAACATATCCATCAACCCCAAAAGTGTCTCCATGCCCCTTGGTCATTCCTCCCTCAGCCCCATTTTCAGCATCTCTGGACAACCATTGGTGTGCTTTCTGCCACTATAGGTTAGTTTGCGTTTTCTAGACCTACATAAATTGAATAATACTGCACATACACTTTTGTCTGGCTTCCTTCACTCGGCATAATTTAAGAGCCATTCATGTTGTTGCATGCATGTATCAATAGTTAATTCATTTTTGTTGCTGAATTGTATTTCATTGTGTAGCTTTACCATAATTGACTTAACCATTTACCTGTTGATGGACATTTTGGTTGTTTTTCATTTGGGGCTAGTTCAAATAAAGCTGCTATGAACATTCATGTGTAAGTCTTTGTAACGGATATGTCCTTTTATTTCTCTTGGGGAGTTGCGTGGCTGAGTCATACGGTAAATGTGGGTTTAACTTCCTAAGAAACTGCCAAGCCATTATCCAAAGTGGTTGTATGAGTATCCTCGACCATATGGGTATGCCTTTTTTATTTTAGACATTCTACTAGGTGTGTAGTGGTAGCTCATCATGGTTTTCATTTGCATCTCCTAATGATTAATGATGTCACCCAGTCGCTGTGCTAGGAGGAAGTGGAGCAGCAGCAGAGAGAGTCCAGCATCTATGTGTTCGGCTGACAACCAGCTTCAACTACCAGACATGTAAGTGAGCAGACTTTCAGATGATTCCAATCCCCAACCTTCAGGCCTCCCCTGCTGATGCCACATTGAACAGAAACAAGCTGACCCCACCAGGTCCTGCCCACACTGCAGATTCATAGGCAAAATAGATAACAGGTGTTTTACACCACTATGTGTGGGGGGTGGTTTTGTGCAGTAGTAGGTAACTAGAACAGCGAGTCTGGTAGCTGTGATGTCATTACTACTGACCTAGTTCTGTTGATCCACGTGTGGTTTATATTTGTCCTCTCAAATGCTCAGCGCCTAGGAGTCATCTCTTTTATTTCTGGAATCCTAGCCCCAGAACCGTGCTCATGGCTCTCATGTCTTACCCTTTCGGGTCTTACCATCTGCCCCTCCACATGGAAACCTCCCTCCCTAATCCCAGCACATTCTCCGCGTCTATTACATTAGCTCCCTCTTGCTTGTCCAGCTTCCAACCCTTCACCTTGTCTTAGCCACATCCCCAAGAGACAGAGTAGAGTATTGAAGAGCTTAGGCTCTCCTGTTGGACTGCCTGGATTCGAATCTTGTCTCTGCTGCTGCTTTTCTAAGAAGTTGACCAAATTCTTCAACCTCTCTGAGCTTTGATTTTATCTTCCATAAAATGGGAACGGTAGCACCTCCTTCAGAGGGTGGTTATGAGGCTTACATGAGGATCCATGTAAAGAACTTAGCAGACTTAGTGCAGCACCTGCTATAATACTATTAGTTTTACTACAATGTTGTATAAAATACACCCTCCCTCGCTGTCTCCTGGGGAACTCATCTGCCCAGCTCCTGATGGAAAGGCATCAGGTCTGTGGGTGGGAGGAGTTAATATCGGTTGTTCTAAGAGAGTTACAAACATGTAATTACTTGGGTTTTTAAATTCTGCCTTCTCTCCTTTACAGGTATTGCCAGGCAAAATGTTCTACCCCTCTGAGCCTGCTTCCTGCCCACAGAGCAGGGATAACACTGTAAACCAAACAGGTGAATGTAGTGATGTTATAAGAAACCATCCTGACTCAAAGTAACTCCCTGATAAATAGTAGCTATTCACACTAATAACATTTACCCCATAATGCAAAAGGCAACACATTACTCAGGAAGGAGAACAAGAGTGGGCGATTATTTTTCAATGCATATTTTTTGGGAGCTTTTTAATTTTTATATTATCTATATCAGCGGTTCTCAACCTGTGGGTCGCGACCCCTTTGGGGGTCAAATGACCCTTTCACAGGGGTTGCCAGGTACTCGTATGTGGGCGTATCTGAATGGGGCCTGGAGACGGATAGAGGAGTGGTGTCTCGGTTCCTAAGACCATCGAAAATATGTGTTTTCCGATGGTCTTAGGTGACCCCTGTGAAAGGTTGAGAACCGCTGATCTATATTGTTTTTAAAATGAAGTCCAATTTTAATAAATGGTTATAAATTCAGAAATTATTAATACATGAAAAATTTAAATACAATATACTATACTGTGTACCAGATAACTGTTTTTACCCCATTTTATAGATAAAGAAAGCAAGTCTCAAAGAGTGGAATAACTTGCCTGGGATCAAGCAGCCAGCCAGAGCTGGAGCCAGGATTAGAACCCAGGTCTGTCTGAATGTAACACTGTGGCCTTTCCCAGTACTCACAGTCCGGTCTCTGGATAAAGTACATCTGGTAGCATATGGATGGGAGTAGCTTCCTGAAATTGGCTTCAGTGAGAAGCTGGCCCATGTCCCATCCTCCTTAGACTTCTGAAGATGGGGTGTCTCCTCTGGAAATTTTCCAGCAAGGTATTCTAGCTTCCTAGCCCTCCCACATTTGTTCCACAGGGTTCCCATCTCTTGCACAGCTGTGTTTAGGATTGAGTAGACCCCTTCAGAGGTGCAGACAACTGCCTGCGACCCCCCTCTCCCAGGCCCACTAACTCACAGTCTTATATGGGCAACAGTCTCATTCCCAGAGCCCAAGTGGTGACACCTATGGGGTGAAGGGAAGTTTGGGAGGGCCTTAGAACCCAATAATCTCCATCAACCACTTCCCCCAAATAGTGAAACAGCTTCAAAGCAAGTCCTCAAATCTCCCTTCCTCAGTGCCCCTCATTAACTTCTGCTGCATATTCCATATGTGACTAAAGCAAACTGCTTCCAGAGGAAGCCTGACATAGTGGGGCACTCGCTAGGTCCCAGCGTATGGATCACTCTTTCTGAGCAGCAAAGAGTGCTGTGAAGGGGGCTGCTGGAGGCTAGCGCTGGAGAATTTTCTACTGCTCTCATTCTGCTGTGGAGAAAAAGGAAAAGGGTAAAATCTGTTTGTAGGTGGATTCCAACGGTGGTTTGAACTTCAAAGAGCCTCCATCAGTAACTGTCTCCTAGTTGCTCCCTAAATGTTCGGCTGCTTTCTAGACAGTATTCAATTATCCTTTCTTTTATTCAGTTACAATTTGTTTCACTCAGCTATATTGCAGCTTATAGGAAAGAAAACATATATCAAGGATCCTAACTGAAGAACAAGTCTCTAAGTAAAAATAGACTCACGACAGGCGGACTTTCCTTGGGACTCGAGGAGGATGAAGAGTCAGCTCAAGGATGTGCTGTGCCTTAGTGAGTGGGTGGTGTGGGAAGGGAAAGCATTACAGTGGTATTTGAGTCTTCCTGAAAAGGTCAGGTGTAGTCACTTAGCTGAGCATGGTGAGAGACACAGAAAACAATTAAAGAAAGAATTCCCTTCGACCTCTGACTTAGGAGCTTCTCAACGTGGGGCATCCGGTTGCCTGGTGAGGGCAGGCATCTTCAAAGTGGAGGCAAAACAGATTGTGCTCAATGACGCACCATCAACATAACTGTGCGAGTGTCCCAAAGTGTTCACAGGAGCAGCAGTGAAATGGATTCAGTGACACACTGAAGGGAAAAGAAGATTCTGAGAAATGACTACTGTCAGGTGTGACACAGGAAGTCACAGCCAAATAGAGCTGTTCTAACTGATCCATTAGCAGATAAAGCCTCCTGACTTAATGTAAACACCTTGATCATAGGCTGCTTGTAGAGAGCTTACAGCCACAGGAAGGGAAAGGAGAGAAAGAAAAGCAAGAGATTTCATGTTGTAAATAGGCAAATTTTAAAAGAAGTATTGCTTTAAAGAATAAAGTACACAGGGCTGGCCAAGTGGCGCATTGATTAAGAGTTGGCTTGGGACACCAGCTCTGAGCAGCAGGGCCCCGGTTTAGATCCCACATGAGGGCCAGTGACGCTGCGCCTTCTACAGCTAAGATGGTGAACAACAGCTCAACCTGGAGCTGGGCTGCCGTGAGTCGCCGTGAGTGGCCATCCAGTGGCTGGTGACTGATCTGCCTCACAAGGGAAGAGCGCAATGATAATACCAACATGGGCCAGTGAAGTGATGTTCTCCACAACTAGACTGAAGAACAAAAGGACAGCAACTTGTCTGTTCTGCCTCCCTGATTCCTCAACGCTGTTCCCCTCCCCCAATTCCCCAATAAAATCTTAAAAAAAAAAATGAATAGGGCCAGCTGAGTGGCTCAGTTGGTTAAGAGCTCGCTCAAGAGTTTGAGCTCTGAGAAACAGCGGTTCGATTCCCGGCCCGAGCTGAGCAGCCGCTGAGCTGCCAACGGGTGGCAGTACGGCTCAGCTAAATAAATAAATAAATAAATAAAAAAGAATAAAGCACACATTATACATCGTTATGTCCCAAAAATTGTATGGAAAAGGAAATGGCACACATATTTTTTTCATTATAAGTACATTTTACAAAAAAAAACAAAACTTGAAACATTGAACTCCAGTTAATGATATGAAAGCCTAAGTATTTGGGGGGAGGCGGGGGTGTCAACTTCCATTATGGAGGAGAAAGCGCCCAACAAACAGATCATCCCACAAATAATAATTATACACTTTGGACAAAATACAGAAAATAACCTGAGAGCTCTGGAGACTGAACAAAAGCAGGCAGTTTTGGGAGGAAAGTCAAAACTTGGAGCAAGCAGCCTGAGGCATCTGGCAGCTGAAACTCCAATAGTAAAGCCCACCATGTTTCTGGAGACCAGGTAACGGGCCTTACAGAAACCCAGGCTACTGGAGAGTGAGGGGGAGACTCAGAAAGGGGAGTTCAGAAGGTGAACTCCCAATTCCACGTGTAAACTTACCCAAAGTCTCTGGGCGACTTGTGCATGGGCTATGCACACAAGAAGCAGCTTGTAACTAAGAGCTGAAGAACTGAATTAAAATAGGAGTCACTACTGATCAGAGGCATGAAAATCTGCAACTTGGGTGTAACGGAGTTCATTACCTGCTAAAACCAAAACATTAACACTCTTGGGAGCACTATCACAGAATTTAGAATCTATACAACATAGCATTCACTGAAGCAGCTTTGGGACTTAGCATTTTAAAATGATGGCACCTGAGTCACTTTGAGGGGTAAAAAGTATAACCATCGCAGTGTTGTACACCTGAAACTAATAAAAATGTATAACTAAAATGATGGCACCTGAGGACACAGGCAGAAATCTATACAGCCTGTCCACTACTTACTGCATGCAAACAGAATGTGATCAACATATTACATATCACTTTATTTCATCCACCATCTCATACAGACAACTAGGTTTCTCTCAAATTCATATACCTGGTAATGGCATGAGCCATATGGCTCATCAAGAAAACTCGTTAAGTTTTTCTTCTGAAATTGCCACATATGGGCATCAGAAAATGTTTCCGCAAGAATATACATCAGATTCGATAGCCTGTTTCCTCTTCTTTTCATGGGACATAGCAAAACCCAAACAAGCCCCACGTGCAAGGATGGGACTGCAGCGATGACGTCACCGCGCGCTTGCGCAAATGAGGCTACGAGCCGGCGTACGCCTGCTCGGGGGCCGTAAAGCGCGGAAGGTCGCGGTTTCCGGCTTCTCAGGAACTCTTTACTCTCTCCGCCCCGTCCCCTCCCCTTTCCTGTGGCCTCCCCCTTCCGGCCCCCCGGCAACCCTGGCAACTGTGGTGGCGGCTGCCCAGCTTCTCCTGGGTAGTGCCGAGCGCGGAGCCCGGGGGATCCCATGAGGTAAGGAGACAGCTGCGGGGCCGCGGTGGCCTCCGGTCCGCGCGGGCCTTAGCGCCCCGGGACCCCCAGCTTTCCCTCATTCCACTTCGGTCTCGCTGAGGGGTGGTCCCGGCAGCCCGTCGTTTCCCGTGGGGTCGGCCGGGTTGTCCCGGAGGGCGCGTCCTGGCGCCAGGACTCAGGCGGTCCGGGCCGAGAGTGGTTCCGCTTGGTCTCCCTCCCCCTCGGCGGCTGTGTCCTGTCCGGTGGAGGTTGGCGGGCCTCGGGAATACTCGTGCCGAGCTGCCGCGCACCGGGTCTTCCAGGCGTCCGCCTCTCAGCTCGGACGCCCCGGGCGGCCGGGGTGACCTAGCTTCTGGCTCCCCACCTGGGCTTGCACTCCCCCGCAGTCCAGATGAGGCTTGTCTAGCCCGCTCTTCCTCCTCTGCAGGTGGAATTGTTTTCCCGCGTCGAAACGTGCGGATCACCTGTGCTTTTCTCACTAGTGAGACAGCTGCGGCGTCCGGCAGTGAAGTTACCTGGAAAAATCTAGACTAGGGCAGTGAGCTTTCTTCTCATGTTTGTCCCCTTGGGTCTGATGTGAATGACACTCAGATTTGATTCAGGAACCTTCAAGTCCATTTTGGCCATGCGTGTAAGCATGACATGCGGCGATGCTTGTGTGTGTGTGTGTGTGTGTGTGTGTGTGTGTGTGTGTGTGTGTGTGTGTTCGGGAGGGGGGCAGGTCGCCGCACACTGTTCAGTGCTAGGGGTTTATAATAATTTCTTAAGCTTGCCTGATCACCTGTTGAAAAATACGACAGGATCAGAATCTCCAGAAAGGGAGCCTGGGAATTTTTTTTTTTTTTTAAAGAGGTGTCCCAGGTGGTTCCTATGCCGAGGCAGGTGCGGGAAATGTTCTCTTAATCCATCTACACTCTCCCAGTCTTCTTGGGGTCCAGCAGCCCTTTTGTACACAACGCTGTGCCATATATGGAGGAACAGCTCAGAGGGAGAGCTGTCCTCTTGTTGTTGGTGTGAGCAGACCTGAGCATAACGAGCCCAGTACTGGGGTTGTTCAGCGAAACTTAGTCTTCTTAGCAGAGACTATTATACAGTCATTTTATTTTCTTAATTATAATTTATTTTGAACCAGGTTATGTGTTTTCTTTGTCTTTGACATCAGTTTCTTCTCTGCTGGCTCGGTTTTGCTGCCAAATTTACTAGAATAGACTCCCGTTTCCTTCCTTTCCTTAATTGTTTGTCTCTACTTTGAATATATGTGTATACTTTTTTCTTTTTCTTCACATGTCGACTGTTTGAAGGTCATGATGACCACAAGGTCAGAAATCCTTTTCTTGGTTCTTAACATCTTGGGCGTTTAACATTATTTATTCCATTTTGAAATTCACTTGTTACTGTGTTTCTTTTGTCACCTTGCAATTCCCTTTTTCCTGCTAGGGGATGTACCTTGTGGTTCTGTCCTCACAGCTACCCGTTCTTTACTCATCTGGTTTTATTTTCTTTTTTAATTACAATTTTTTTTCAATCACAGTTGACATTATTGTATTAGTTTCAGGTGCACAACATAGT